TTGTTAAGGGCATTAAAAAAATGCCTGCAGGGGAATGAATTTATAATGCACTTTAGTATTGAGATGAATAAATCCCATCATGATGCCATGGTTACATACCATTTCTCTCTTGTTCCATTTGTATTTTTGCTCAGAGTATTGAAAAATAAATTCATATTGTATGAGCTTTGTCCAGGTAATGTAAGTCTGTATAATAGAAAAAGAAAAAATAATAACCACACCAAATACATTTTAATAGTGATTTCTATTTGAAAGTGGGTTAATGTTCACCCTAAACAGTCTTGGTCATGATCCACCTCACTGTGAATGAGGTTTCGGGCTAATGGTCTTGTTGCTATGACAACAGCCTCAGATCATTTTCCGCCAGTTTTGAAGAACGAAAAAATCCAGGCGTGTGCCAAAATATCAACAATGAAGTGAAGCCTACTAAAAAAAACATGTACAAAGACTGAGGCTTGTGTCCGATTTAACCAGAACAAACAAAAAGGAAGGCGTAAAATCCTTTTGAACATCACTCATTTTAAAACGGATGACCTTAACCGGCTTATTAACCCACCTGCCTTAGTTAAACACATTGCAGACAGACCTCTCGTATTCACACTGAGCAGTTGTGCCTTCTGAACACCTGCTGCAATAATATGTTGGTTGGAAGGGGTCACTGAAGGGATGTTGTTTACGAGCTCATTCAGCTTGGTCGTGGTGGTAAAATATTTAGACAAACTGCAGAATAAAAGGGGTCTAAATGTTTCTGCAGTGACATTGTAAGGAGCCTTGGGTGGAGTTCAACACATCTGTCATTTGTCACAGCCACTACCCATAAAGGTCAAGGGAATTTTTCAAAGCAAGCAGCACGCTGGGTTTTTAGGCTCCTGCAACTGATTGGACTTGCGGGTGTCTCGAGTTGAATGATGGCCCTGAAAACCAGATGGGTATAGATCATTAACTCCAAATGTATGGGGGGAAAACTGTTCTGGACGATATGGAGCTGTGTCCATCTAGTGTTCGGACATGGTATTAGCATTTCATTCCACTTTATTTTATTACCTGTGCACTGTTGTCTTGTCTGTCTACTGTCGCGCACTAACCGCCAAGACAAATTCCTTGTATGTTTGACATATTTTGGCTAATAAATGTTTCCTGATTCCTGATTCCTGATTCCTGATGGTAATTGAAACATAAGACAGGAGAGACAATGGACTAAGAAACAGTGTTCCACACATAAATCTTCCCATGAAAAACTGTCAAGAATATCTTTTAATTTAGAAATGGTTTTAGCGTGTTTAGTATGTTTAGCTCCCCTAATCTCCGTTACAGAGTATTGAAAAATGGGAAAACTGATGACAGAGTCAGGAGGGCCATGAATTGCACCAAAAATAACATTCTTTCCACCAGAGATACCAGAGAGCTCTAAAAACAGATTCCACTGCGTCCACTTCTGCGTCTTTACGCACAGTCGTGTCCACGCACTCATTTCAATTCATGGTTCTAAAAGTCTTGCGTGTGTTGCAGAGTAATTCACCGCCAACAGGTGGAGTAACGTGTTTTGTCGAAGATGACCTAGAGAGTCAAGTCTTTGTGTGTAGAAGTCGTTGCTGTGTTTATTTATTTATCATAGACTTTATTGCCCCGTGCATCGCCACTGCTGCTTTATCGCGGACATATTTGTCCCGTATTTTCCTCCACAACTTTGTGCACCTCTCGACCGGCAAACCGGCGTTTTTGGAGATCTTCCTCCATGAATCAGAGGCCATCTGTATCCGTATATAAAGTGTATATAGTGCTACTTAATTTATTTTTGTACTTGAAATGACGTGAATACCTGAAATTGAAGGGACAATTGTCACAATTAACACATTCACATACATTCACACGCATTTACACAGAATCACACAGATTCACACACACACACACATTCACACACATTAAGGCATATTCACATGTATTCACACACATTCAAATGCATTTACACAGAATCACACCGATTCACACGCATTCACATGCATTCACACACACGCACATTCACACACATTCACACCTGATGGGGAGGGGATACCATACACAGTGCCACCTGCCCCATCAGCTATTAACATTCATATTATTGACACACACCGTAATCACTACGGGAGCCATTTAGGGTCTTGCTCAAGGACGAGGTGATGAGGGGGCAGTGCACCGGTTAGGACATCCAGTGGTAAATCCAATCTGTCCAGGTCTGCTTGGCCTCAGTGGCCTTGTTAATGTTTTCGACGGGCTGGTGGAGGAAACCTGTTGGAGACAAACAAGCTTCCCGTCTAAGGAACCGCACTCTCTCCTTGTTGTCCCCATTTTCCTTTCCAGCGTCCTCCGTTTTCTGCTGCAAAGACTCCTTCAGTTCTGTCACTAGGACCCTGAAATCTTCCAGAACACTTTCCAGTTCTCGCACTTTGTTTTCCATGCGTAGATTATGACGTTTGTTTGCCGCTTCCTCAGGATTCTTTTCCGCAACCTCTTCTTCCAGGGCCCCTATTTTCTGAAGCAAACTCTGCTTCTCAATTTCACCGAAGTCACACTGTTTGTGAAGGTCATCAATTTCTCTGTCCTTTTCGCTAAGCATAGCCTCCCTTTCGATCAACGTGGCCTGCTTTGCGCTAAGCATAACGGATATTTCGCAGCGCAGGGTGTCAGTGGTTCTCCTGACGTTCTCGGCTTCGGCGCGAAACATTTCGTTCTGCCGTTGAAGAGTCTTTTTCTTTGTGTTCCTAGAGTACCTGTATTTCATGTTTAAGCGGCCAAGCTCTCTGCGCAGGTCCTCATTCTCTTGCCGGAGATCCTTATTCCTTTGGGAGAGGACCTCATTTTCATGGCTCAGGGCGACACTGTCTCCCAGTGGAGCGGCAGTATACTGGGTCGCAGACATTTCTTCAGCCATCTGTAATTTAACAAATTGATAAAGACCTTTGTTTTTGGTGGTTTGTTATGTAATATTAATTAGTTAATTAATATTAAATATGTTGTTGATATTGTAAGCTGTGTAATATATTGCTGACAATACTTCTGAGGTCTGTAAAAATGTGTGTGTGTGTCCTGGGTAACTCTTGGACTTGTGATAAGCTGTCTTGGTCTGACACATGTCATCGCCTCTGATGTCAATGTAACCATGGGACCACCTTTCGTCTCAAATGTACCATGTGACCACCTTTCATCTCAAATGTGACCACCTCTGATATCAAAGTATCATGTGACCACCCTTCATCTCAAATGTACCATGTGACCACCTCTGATGTCAATGTACCATGTGACCACCCTTCATCTCAAATGTACCATGTGACCACCTCTGATATCAATGTACCATGTGACCACCCTTCATCTCAAATGTACCATGTGACCACCTCTGATGTCAAATGTACTATGTGACCACCTCTCATCTCAAATGGAAAACTTGACCACCTCTGGTCTCAAATGGAACATGTGACCACTTATGATGTCATATGAACTTAGATGACCTACAGTAGGGACATCGAGGGAAACGTGCCAAGCTGCTTCTATGCGATTGACTATAAAAGGAAAACTTTTCATTTTAATTGCATTCATTGGTGAAGAAGGGGGTCTGGACCAATAACATGTGATACACAGGCTAACCAGCACTGTGGATCTGTGGTTCACTGGGAACTAATGAAGACACATACAATGAGGAAACATCCTCATAAGGCCAGAGTCACGAATGACGTAAAATGATGTAAAATGCAGCCAAATAAACTGCTTAAATATGCTTAGCAAAACGTGTTTTTCTAAGCATAATCTTCATATTTTTCTGCTGTAGAATCCAGGCTTGAGGATTTGCATTTGCTTATTTCTCGTTGGACCGGCTTGCTGCTGTGGGGTACTTTTTTCTTCTGCCTTTGGGGAAAAAAACGCAGAAATGGCCACACGGCGGATGTCCTCAGTAGCATGCAGAGAAGCTGGATGACTGCTTTGAAGAAGACCTCAGAGAGGTTTACGTAAAAGTATTTCACTGGGTATTTCTCGTGGGTTGCCGGCCCTTCGCTCCGCGTGGGGCCTAACAACGGCCCGAACTGTTACGAAAAAGCACTGCCTGAGGTACCTTATTGCTTTTATAAAACAATTGACAACTGGTTGAACTTGTAGGTGTCACAAGTTGAATGATGGCCATGAAAACCAGATGGGAATAGCGCATTAACTAGACCATCATTAAAGGTCATTAAACCTACAAAATGCCATGTCTTCTTCTTATTCCGTTTAATTAAGGAAGATATGCTTCACCTGAGCTATTTTTTGGGGATTGTAAATTAAATGAAATTTCGTTAAGCCGTGTACTTTTAGCTAAAAGTTTGTTTTCTTGCATATACGAGCTAATGAACTGTAACCGCAAGATATTACAGAATATGTCTAAGCTACAGTAGCTGAATGTCACCACACACACATCGTTCTCCCCTTCAGCTGCTTCCTGCTGGCTTCATAAAACAAAACAAAACGTAAAGTTAGTTTAGAATCAAACCACAAAACAAAGCGAACAACTTCAGTTTCTATGTGTATTCATTCTCAATGTTTGTCAGTTCGTCAGTTTACACTCACGCTTTATATTTAAAAACCACAAACTCACATGTGTATAAACTGTAAAGCCCTCTGAGCCAAGTTTGTAATTTGCGGGATGCATCAACGTGCTCGTGGAGGGCCGCGTCCCGTTGCAGCGGAAGTGACGTGTGCGGTCGATGAATACGTCCCGGCGAGGATGCAGCCGACAAATTGAGACACAACTTTAGCTAGGAAGCTGTGTCCACCTAGTGCTCCAACATGGCAATCGAAACAACATAAGACCGGAGAGAAAATAAACCAAGTAACACTTTTTTGAATTTATTTTTTAAACTAAGTAGCAGGGTGTAGTTGTAGATGTGACCCAGCATGACAATCACACAAACAATGTGCTGATCATGCAGATTATCACCCCGAGCAAATTAAATGCATATAAATAAAACTATTATCGATGGAGAAAATAGATCATGTCCGGTTTAAACCACTGTTTTATTTGGCATAATTTAAATCATCTGTTAGTTCATTTATACAAATATGCTTTTGTTATATATAAAACAATTACAAACAGATTTCTACAAATCAAGTTCCCAGTGTAAAAGCGTAGTACCACGCACACGGCAGCATACAGCTCCAGGACACAGAGAGCCCACAGGTGTATGTTCCACTTCAACAGCACTATCCGAGTGAAATCAGGACATGGCAAAAAAAACAACAACCAAGAAGCTCACTGCAGTTGACAGTTTGACATATTTTGCACTTACATTAAACCCTCCAAACAACGGTCTTCACACATCCTTCGGCAGATCTCATATCACTGTTGCCGCGCCTCGGTTGTGCTAACTTTACACAGGCCACAAGCTAGGGTGAATTATTAAAAAAAAAAAAAAAACACCCAGCTCGAGTGAGTAAATGAAAGTAGTAAAAAAAAAAAAAAAAAAAAAAGGAAGCGGTTATCACTGGCAGCTGAAAAACTCTTATGAGCGTCCAGTAGTTATTTAAAAATATTTTTGAAAGTGTAGAAAACGGTTTAGATGTGACGAGGCAACGCAGCTGGTGCTAACCGTACGTGCAAGTTGTGCTAGTGATGCAGAGACGTAAACCACAAACCGTTTTGATCTGCGGGCCACGAGTGCCCCGCTTCATGTGCTGTGTTTCACAAACACACTTAGACTTGTCGGTTTAACATCTGTGCCTTACGGAAGGGTGCAAGTGTGCTTACTGACTGAAAGGGGAGCGGAAAGCTTCAGAAAAATGACAAACGAAACCTAGAAATATCTGGACCTGGAATAGAAGGACTTGTGGCACTTGAATGACTATAATGAGAACTTTTGGGTCTAACAAAAGAGCACGGCTATGGTCTTTGGTTTAATAAGGCATCTGACCAAATAACGGGCTCCTTATATAGAGTAGATCACCTGCTAGAACAAGATGAAATGACATGCCAGCTAAAACGTATTCTGGTATTATATGCTATACAGAGTTACACAGTGGTCATAGTCTGTTTACCTTAACTGTAAGGCAATAATATAAATCACATGGGGAGCATTGTGGAGTTCTGGTTTATCAAATAGGAGTACTAACTGTTACACACAAACATCTTATTGATCAAATAAACATAAGCTATTACAAAAAATATATTCAACTTTGGCCATAAACGCACTTGTGGGTTAAAAACATTTGAGAAAAAAAAAAAAAAATCATTTACAGAGTAAATTCAACATAGTCCTTTTGACCCCACCCTGTCAAAAAGTAATTCTTAGGCATGTTTTAATGGCACTCTGTGTGAGCCTCAAGAGTTAAGACGTGGACAGCTGTAATATAACCTGACCTCCTGATATGTTAGCTTGAGAAAAATCCGGTACCAGCGTGGGTTAATTTGGCGCAGGCCTAGCAAAACCTGCCCCGCCGCCCCCCCATTACTGAAGAGGGCAAAAGGGCCAGCTGCTTTTAATGGGTCCCGTGTATCTTCAAAAGGCCAACTGGCTCCTCCACGCGTGGCTGTGAGAGCGCAGTGCAAGAGGCAGGAAGGGCAGCCTGCCGTACAGCTCCAACATAGCAGAATGAGCACAAGGCAAAGCTGCAGATCGACAAATTGAACCTCTAATCTGTGCATGTTGGTTGAGGGGTACTGGCATTTGTCTGGGAGTCACCACGTCAGGTCTGAATTCAAGCGGCTTGAAATGAAAACTTGTTCACCCTCTACTCGGCTGTTTATAACATCTAAATAGGCAAGTCAAAGCATTCTGGTGGTTACGTTGCTTGGTACTTATGAGATGCAACCTAGGTGAGAGTATGAGGTAGTCATTATTTCTCCATCTTGACTAAGGCAGATCTCTTCTTTCCAGTCAATCAGGGAATTGTTTCCGACGTAATAATGGCTCGTGACGACCATGATCAGCATTTATAAGGCAAAGCAGAGAAGCTATAAATCTAGAAGAGATGTAAAATTGGAGAACGGTGTGAATATCAAAAGTTAAAATTTAAGGAAAATAGAGGAAATCCGGTCTTTTGCCCCCATTTTGGCAGTCACTTTGGTCATGATGGCAACGGAGTGAAATCCTCCAGGAGATGAATGGGGAAGAGAGGTGTTACAGAGGAGCTGAAATCAAAGTCCAAACTGCTGGTGGTGGTGTGGAGGCAGCCAGATGACGACGTTCACTCCTCAGCTTTTGCATCTCCACAGCCCTAAATCGGGGGGAACCTTTTATTACAACAACACACACTTCTTGGGATTCTTTTTCGTGACTGGATACAACACTGCCCTCACTGCTTCGGCAAAGACTTCCCGAACGCCATCCTGCAGCAGGGCCGAACACTCCATGTATTTGACAGCCCCGATCTGCTTGGCCAGGGCGTTTCCCTGCTGCTGGGTGGTGGGAGCCAGGCTCTGCTCTTTCAGCTTCTTCACCGTTTCGGCATCGCCCCTCAGGTCCCTCTTGGTGCCCACCAACAGGATGGGCACGTTGGGGCAGTGGTGAGACACCTCGGGGTGCCACTTGTGCCTGACATTGGCATGGGAGGAGGGGCTGCCGATGGAGAAGCAGATGATGAAGACGTTGGTCTGAGGGTAGGAGAGCGTGCGCAGACGGTCGTACTCCTCTTGTCCCGCTGTGTCCCACAAGTTGAGGCTGACTGTGCGGCCGTCCACGCTCATCTGGGCGCTGTAGTTGTCAAACACCGTGGGTATGTACTCTTCGGGGAAGGCGTTGGTGGTGTAAGAGATGAGGAGGCAGGTTTTACCGACGGCCCCGTCGCCCACCACTACGCACTTTATGGTCTGCATCCTGCCTACGACCACTGGGGCTGCAGCACCTGACAAGAAGAAGAAGAAGGAGGCACCTGGGTAACTCATATGGTTCATGCACCGAGGCGCTCCTCTGGATTCCTCAACACCCGTGTTTAGTGGGCGGATTACTCATCTTAAAATGAGATCATTGGAAATTACCGCTCGCGGCTTTGCAAGAGTTGCTATTTGCTATATTACAACTTTTCCGCCCGATTAATTACCGTTAGTGGACGAGCTATGCGCCGCCCAAGTTAGCTTGTCGACGCAATTAACTTAACGCGAAGATGAGCTAACTGCCATTACAACCGCGCTCTTCTGGAAAGTGTACAGGAGTAACTAAAGTTAACACGGTATAGTATTTGAATCGAGGACAAGTGAATCAAACGGCAAACGCTTATTTCACAGCGTTTAATTACTTCGCACGGTTCACTTTTAATGCTAGGCGTCCCCCCTCCGCCCGTCCCGTCCCCCTCCCAGTGGCTAGCATCAAGCTAAGGAACTAGCGCTTTCCGCGGCTAACAGCTAGCTAGTTAGCAAACAAGTTGAAAGTTGATTTGAAAGCCGCTTTTCAAGAAGGTCTGGTCCCCGTAACTTTCACACAAGTGACTCTAAAAAAATACATTATGTAATAACAGAAATACCACAAGTAGTTACTGGCTGTAACGGAGACATTTGAAGGATTTTGTGACTTACCGCCACTTGGCTTCCGATCTCGTTTTGCCTGGTATAGTCAATCACAGCCGCATCCGGGGAGCTGTCCATTACGTAACAGAGGCCGTGCGGAAACAGTGCAAACTGGTACTTGTAGTTTTATTCTGCGACATCAGCTTCTGTGACACTCAATGAACGCTAGATGACGATGGCAAGCTGCTAAAACAGTAATGTCAACAGGGGGCAGGAGAAAAGACCTGTATGAAAACAGGACCGTTGTAACATGCTTCTGAGATAAGTAAATAGAATCAGGAGAGTAGGTCTATTTGTAACTCAAAACTGCTGTTAAGTAGAGTACTTGCTGGTAAATGTATTTAATTACTATACACCACTGTTCCCAGTCAAGCACACACACATACGCACAAATATTTGCCTGTCTTCAATGTCATGACGGCAAGATTTATGAATATGGATTGATATTCACAGTGACCACATTTATTAGAACTTTAGATACCTGAATTACACTTTGCAAAAACCATAGGCTGCATTTGCTCTCTCAAAAGTGGCCCCAAAAAAAGGAAAAGGACTTTGCTAAACCTCACTGCTTCTGAATTTAAAAAATGAGTCTAAATGAAAACCTGAAGACTCCGCTCTGAAATGATCACATTCGTGTTCTTTAAATGCCAGTTGGTCACTGCGTGCGAGTACATACACAACACAACAAAACAACAATCCGTTCTCGGGGACCTCCTCCTCGGTTTGGAGATCACTGGTCTTAAGGGCCCATATATTACTCATTCACCTTCAGACAAGTCATTATTCTCACTAAGTCAGTGCTTCAGATCAATGAGGGATGCATAAAGGCAGCTAAAAGAGGAACCACTTTAGACTACTCTCCCCTGCTCCCCCGGAGACCCGTTTATGATGTCACCTCTATACACCCGGGCAGGTTAAGAGGCCAATGTTGACCGACAACCGGACACTCAGAAACACAAAGAGGAACCTGTTAATTGCCTTTCCCAAGAGGTTCTGGCGTCACTGCAGCTTATAAAGAGAGAATTCCCACTGGGACCCTCCACCCACAGTCACCATACACCCCAACCCTTGCGCCCCAGTATTCTGCCAGGAGATTCCCCGGGACGTCTGGAGCATTTCCATGACAACAGCAGCCACTGACAGAGTAGGGGGTGGCCATGTCAAGAGATGCTGCGAGCTGCAAGAGCAGAAATTGATGGAGTAGTGGAGACCTCAAAAGCGTTCATGGGAAGTGTTCATCTGAACGTAAGAGTCAAAAAGACACAAGTTTTTTAATTTAAACCGTTGAATACCATCTTTATTCATCTTCTCTTTTTTTTTAATAAAACCAGATAATACAGTGAATAACAACCAAGGCTATTCAATTAAGTTATATAATCTTTTGATACAAAATTATAAAAATTACAGTAAGCATCTCCTCGCGGTATTTTAAAGTGCATCAGAACAATGAGCCCTCTCCACAAGAGGACAAACAGGTCAGTCCATTGGTGAGTTAAGTGGGACTGTACAGTAAGATCACTTAGCGGAGGGGGTCACATTATTCAAAACATTTGGACAAAATTACTTTTGTCAAGAGATTGAAACAGTTTCCCAAATGTAATGTTTTTCAACTGCCTGGTCGAGTATTGATCTATTTACTACTGTTCCTATTAATGCTGTTCTATGTATATGAAGAGTTATTGTAGGACGGCTGGTCTTGTGGTATCCTATTGCCTGCAAAGGACACGAATGTGTGTGAAAAGGAGGTAGGATTTAACACTTTTTATATTAGACTGAAATCGACGAGCACATGAAAAGTGTGAAAAGGCCTTTAAAATAAATCAGAAGCACTTATTCATCATCATCTCCACAATGGCGAAGCTGCGGTAGCTCGCAGCATTTTGGGACCAGGTATCCTAGAAACTGTGGGGATTTTAGAGGTAGCAGGAGAGGGGCTGGTGCTTGTCGCCTTGGCAGTTTTATTCAAGGCGGCAGAAATGACAGCCGTGCGTATGGTCTTGGCCGTGGCGGAGAACGGGCCGTGGGCGGTGCGAGGCTGGTAGGGCGCCTGAGTCTCCGCGGTCGGGGCGAGTCTTTTCGGCACGCGCAGAGGGGTTCCCCTGACGAATGCTGGCCGGGTGCTGCCTGAGACCTTCTCCGGTTCGGACCTGTCCGAGGTTCCACGGGTTAAGGCAGGAGTGCCTGCGGTGCGGGTCTCACGTGCAGTCCTCTCCCGCGTGCTACTGCTCCGTTTAACATCTGTCTGAGCCGCCACAGGGCGCGACGAGCGCATGGATGTGCTGCGAGGACTGGACAGCCTGTTGGGTGGGTTCGTGGAGGTCGGAGCTCCATGTGAGGGCTCGGTTTTGGAGCGCACCCTGGGAATGCTCGCGCTATAGGAAGGTCCTACACGGGACACCAGTCCCCTTTTAGCCCCTATTCCACTTCGCACAGGGATCTTCACGCTTGGAGTCTCCTCTTTTGAGGTAGGAGACCCCGGAGTTGCCTCTGCTCGGAGGCCGCCCTCCCTCTCTTTCCTCCACTTGGAGCAGAGGCTCGGTGCGGGTCGTGGGAGCGGGGAGGTTGAGGGTGACAGGGCATCATAGGATCGGAGGCCTCTCACCAGAGTGTGGCACTCTAGGTTTCCGCCCACGCGGGAGTACGGCCCCGCCGCCTCCCTCTCAGGACTTGGCAACTCGGAGTACTCCTCTCTCTGTGGTTTGCTGAACTCCGGTTGACTGGAGGGCATCCATTCTCCCTCCACAGGTGTGGACGCCCCTTCTGTGTTTGCGGGCTCTGTTAAACCCACATCAGGCAGAGGCATCACATCGCTTGTCGTGGGCGTCTCACTCGCCTGTGATTGGGGCCGAAGCCTTTCTGGAGCGTTTACGCATGATTGTAACATCTGGCCAGACATCTGGTAGCCCAACGTCCCAGTCCTGTTGCCACTGTGAGAAAGTGTGTGAGGAGACTCATTCACACCAGAGCCATTAGGTCTACTCTGAACTGTCCGAGTCTCGTCTGTACCTGGCAAGCCAAATCTCTGCGTATGAATGGGGGTTTGGTTTTTAACACAAAGGACGGGTTTGTCGGTTGGTTCAGCAGCAGAGTTTTTACAAGACTCAGCGGTCGTCAAAACTATGTGTGAAATCTCAGCTTCTTTTTGAAGTCCTGTCGTCTTCGACTGGCCTTCTTGCACATAAGAGATGCTCTCAGGCCCGAGCTGCTTGACAGTGGGGCCACATCTGGACGGAGAGTGAACGAACACAGCGATGTGCGGGTCCGGAACCGCGTCCCTGCTTCTGTTTGTAGACCACTTGATCTCAGGCCTGCTCCCTTGACCCATGGCCGGCTCTTCGATGGGGAGGCATGTGCCATCGCTCTCTGGGGAGCTACAAAGTACGGCGGCGGTCTCGTGGTCGTAAGAGCTGTTGGAGTGATAACTGGTTGATGTGGGGCTGCTGCCGAGCTCGGGGAATTTCTTGAGCACGGATGAGCTGTGGAGATGACCGTCGTTGTTGAGGTGATGGAAGTGTCTGCGGGACTCAGAGCTTTTCAGGCTACGTCGACTCCAGGTGCAGCTCAAGTTCTTCTCTAGCAGTTTCTCCAGCTCCCCTTGGTTCTCCTGACTCTGAGGCTTTCTGGCGAGGCTGAGGCTTGGGTCCAGACCCGTGCAAACAGCCAGGGAGCGACGCTTTTCCACCATGTCCTGTTGGCGCTCCAGACGTTTCTGCTCCTTCAGCTCCCGCTCTGCATTCTCCTGAAGAAAAGGGAGAAGAATCAGAAATCTTTTCTATTTTTAATACTATACAGGTTCTTAGCAACAGATCCTTTTGTAAATCTAACCTTGACAGCTCGTTGGAAACGCAGGCAAAATAAATGAAAGACCCTGCATGCTTCCTCTAGTTTGAAGGTGTCATCTTCACAGAAGAATTCCACCAGAGCTTGACTAGACATCCTCATGCCCTCCACCTCATCCTCTGCCTCCTTCAGACGCTCTTCAGCCACCTGCACACATTTAACACAGTCACCTTTGGCTTCAGAACATGAGACACCGTTTTAGTTTTTTTTACACAATGGGTTTCATACCTCCAAGAAAAGCTTTGTGTACTGTTGAATCTCTGCATCAGTTTGGAGGTTTGCCTTGAGGGCCACCATTCTGCTTTTTAACTTGGACAAGTCCTCCACCACAGACTCCTCACTCAACCTGCAGAGAGAGAGAGAGAGAGAAAGAGAGAGAGGTTTATTGCGGGAGAAACTGAGTTGCGATATATATAAAAAGAGGTCGTATAAAAGCAGAATAAGGATGGTTATTCCTTAACCCCTCGCAGATTAACTCTCCTGCAGGGTTTAAATATTGGCTTGGAGTATTGATGTAGTCATGACCCACTTTATCTCAGGCAGCTAGCTATTGCCAACAGTTTTGTGCCGTGTTCTGATACAAGAATGCAATATATTTATGTTATGAGTGTCTTCCCAATGTGTACTAATGGTATTACGCAGGGCTTCAATATTCCCTCAGCCAAAATCTCAGGATCTGAGTTTTAGGAAGAGACTGACCTGGAGGCAGAGCCAACATGGTCTATTTGGCTGGGAAACGACAGTAAACTCTGGTCCTTTTTCACAGCTTCCTGGGGAGACAAACACAAATGATTATCCAGCCATTGTTCCAAAAGAAGCAATGCTTCATTTGTAAATGTTGACCCAATAATGTGCTTGGTGAAGCAGGATTGAGAGTTTACTGTTCTCAAAAGAGTGTGCCAACTATTTTGCATTAGGCCTCAAATGACATTTTCTCAAATTTATCGAACGATATTACAAAAAAAAATAAAACACATTTACATGTACACCCTCTTCATGAGGAATAGTGTTCAATACCTCTCTGATTGGTTACTACCTGTTGTTAGTTTTTGTTTGATCTTACCATTGCAACAAAATGCAGCAGATTCATACCCGGCTTGTTGGCCTTGGTGTCAGCCAGTTTGAGCAGCGATGAAATTCGGAAACCGGCAGCGTTCCCCGCATATCCTCCCTGAGAGGGTCACATACAAGGTCAGAATAACACACACAACATGTGACAGCTTTAGACAAACAATAATACAAAACCCAGGTGCAGAGTGACGCCTCTGAGCACACACACACACAGACTCAGACCTCCATTGTACATGGAAAAAAGGGCTGTTAGACATGAAAAGAAAAAAAATAAAGCTCTCACCGCGTTCATGTAGTTCCCTGCTTTCAGCACCAAACGGAGGATAGAGTGTAACTCAGGACAACTCAGCAGCTCTAGGAGAGAAGACAGTGACTCAATATTGCGCCTAAAACTTGTGGCACAATGAGGAGGAACGTGCATGCATCCAGCATCAAGGCCGTAAGATGAGTCAGCAGCTTTGTTTTGAAGAACTGACACTAACGTTGAATTAAACCTTATGGACCAAACAATATATAGCTGGTTGCAGGTTCCTCTTTCATCAGAACAAAACTATTCTGAATGCTAATCACATTCGTATTCTGGGTACAAACTTTACCACTCTGCACTAAATAGGAGCATATAATGTGGTGTATACAACTCCCCGCTGTTGACTTTACCTCTGGCCGCCTCCCTCAGGCATCTGGCTGCCACACACAGAGAGGTCACAGCAGGGTCAAACTCTTGTTGCAGGATCATGGCATCCAGACGAAGCCGAAAACTAATGGAAGAGGGGTGCGGACGATCAATCATCAATTGAACAAGTCAAATCAACACAAGGTAAAGTAAAGGATGTGAGCGGGAAAACGTGACACGTAAAAAATGAAACTAAAGCCGAATGCTCAAAAGCAGAATTGGGAAAGTATCAGGGATATTTCTGGTCACTTTATCAATCTTAGGGTGTCCAAAGTGTTTACCTGGGGACTTCCACCAACAGCAGCAAGAAACGATCAGGCTCTCCAAGCCAACTGCGCTCCCCACTGAACCTCTTCAGCCGGGACTCCTGACAGAGAACAGATGCTAAGTCAAAACAAAACCAAAAGCAGCTTCGATTGTGAGACATAAATAAACATCGCGGTGTTAACAGTCAATTCCAAAAACTATTTGCGCGACACTTCTCCGGAAACCGGCCACGTCATACGAGATGCGTAATGGCAAACTTTTTGATCCTAACCACAGCCAGATGATGAGTAAGACGAGTGGAGAGGAGGGGAAAGGGGGAAGCGGGGTTGTTTCCTGTTGTATTCATATGCAAAGAAAAAAGCCCCTTTACCTCCTCCTTGTCAGGCAATAGTTTGCAGAGCTCTGCGAGCTTCTCTGCTCCATAGCGGTCCCCAGCGCCGCGCCTGATGTCCTCCACTATCTCCTTTGCAGGCCTGCGGAAAAAAATTACAACACACATGTTTTTGATGGGGATTTTTTTAGCGTGACGCCAGCTCGAGGAAACTTCGACCCTTTGTTTCGCTTTGATCGCGCGGCGTTCGGGCTTATCCCCGTTCTTATCGGGCAACGTGTCGGGGAGTTAGAGTTAGCTGACGCCACGCCGGCGACACAATGTGGCATATCCATTGGGCAAATAAAAGGGCAGACACGCAGAGAAAACGTCTGAAAGAACTTGGGATGTCAAGGTGAAAGAAAAGAAACAGAACTGACTGTTTGACCTCTGACTTTGACTCTGAGTGACACTTCTGTCCCGCACTTTTTCCATTATCCCCTCCGCTCCCTCCCTCACCCTGCATCCCATCACACATGCTCGCACTCCATTAAGCTTCTGTGTGTGTGCCTCACTCTCCTCATTCAAAGGTCACCTCCACTTTCATTTCATTCTTTGACACCAACCAGTCTATGTAGTCGGGGCCTGAGAGGTCTACCTATCCAGGGATCTAGATCAATTATTCAAAAAAGGATTCCCTTTGAAATCCCTTTAGCTTTCTCAAACACTTTCATTGTGTGCTGCTCTCCGTCTCAACTAGTTTTAGTGGCTGAAAACAAAATGCAAGGGAAAATAGCCTATACATAGAACTACCCTGCAATAAAAAGCAACTACAATACAAAACCATATTTTGTTTGCGCTACTCCCACAATTCAGTGGCGGCTGTGTCTGTTTTCAGAGCTGCGAGACAAATGTCCCGACAAGACAAATGTTTGTGTGCACGAGAAGCTCCTTTCACATAACGGCTTTCCCCTACAAGTCTGGGCAGAAACAGAACCGCTCTTCCATTGAATCTCTGAACATTTCACGCACAGATTATATGGAGGCGTGACAATACTGCAACTCAGCACTTTTTTCCACCTCTCAGTATCATTATTATAGCCTGCAAAATGTTGCAAATGTCATGATTTTCCAAATGGAAAACATTAATCATATATCATTTTATTTTCCATACTAAACTACATGATTTCATTATTATAAAAAAAAAAGTTCCCTTTTCTTTACAAGAGGGGAAGCTTTGTTAGAGCCTGGCCACCAGTGGAGGTTATCTTTAACATAAGACACTCGTGTCAACTGACCTCTCAGGCTGTACTCACCCACTTACCCCCTCCTCCCCCCTTCAACAGAGTCCCCCAGTCCTGCTGCTCAGCCTGCACCTGTCCCCCCGCAATATACTTGTGTCCCCTCTCTGACACCAGACATCCTCTCTCCCGATGAGACATCACACCATGGCAGTTTCCCCAAAGTCTCTTCAAATGTCTTGATTTTGTCCCACGAGCAGCCCGAACTCAATTCTATTCAATTTGAGATGATACCAAAGAGCGAAACACGACAACAAAGAAGCTTACATCTTAAACTGCCGTAGAAATATTCCAATGTTCATACTGCGTTTGGAGTCCAACAGGGAAATCTGTAAAAAGGCAAAGAGCACAATTAAGGGGAAGAAAAGTGCAACAAATCCCCCTGTCTTCATAAAGAGGCTGAAAAAGATCACCGCCATCCTCGTGATCTGACCTCTTCTGAGCCGTCCTGCGGGGATCGGCAGCGCAGCAGAGCAGACCGGCGTCTCAGGGTGCTGGTTCTGTCCGGAGGCTTGCTGTCCTTCTGGCTAAAGAGCTCATCCAGAGAGTGGAGGTCGATGGGGAACTCGTCCTCGCCCGGAGCCGCCCCGTTCCACACACTCTTCCTCCCCTCCACCTTCTCTTTGGGGATGCGCTCCCAGTTCAGCTTCCTCAGCCGGCTCCGCCGGGCGCTGTCGGCCCGGCTGAAAGGCGAGGAGGACCCAGGAGGTGGTGGCGGAGGGGGCGGAGGGGGAGGTGGTGGAGGTGGTGGCGGTGGAGTCGTCTGGGGAGGCGGTGGAGAGGCGACCGGCGGCGGACGCGACTCCATGGCTGTCACTCCCGCAGTGTCAGGGGCAACGGCGGGGTGGGCAGGCTGTGTTCCATGAAAGGCCCGAGACTCCTTGAACTCCACCGTCAGGCTGATGAGCATAGGGGCTGTGTGTGTGTAGCAGGGGGGCGGGCGTGCAGTCTCCGCTCAGTCAGTCAATGATGTCTTTTTCTGGTTTCCACTGAGTCCAAAGGTCCATCAGTAGTTGGAGCCTGGGAAATTGGAGGATAAAAAAAGAGTGTTGTTGATAACAGGGAGACAGAGGAAATCAGCGTAACAGTGAGACATCAAATTTAACTGAGGCTGATGACCCCACCTAGTCTGACACCTGTCCCCATTACTCCTTGTGCATGGACTGACCTAACAAGTGATCAGAGCTGCAAGTGTATGAGGTTCAAGCTGTTTTGGGGAAAGTTGGAGCTGAGTTCTCCCCCTCTGTAGGGTGTTTGAAGTTCTTGTCCCATCCTGTTCAGATTCACTTCACTGCACACACACGCACACACACGCACACACACGCACACACACACACACACACACACACACACACACACACACACACACACTCGCACAACTCCCTTTTAATTATAATACATGGACCTTGACACCACACGCAGTGTAAGATGCGCAAGTAATCACAAAGATGAGGGAAGGAGCGTCTGCAACTCCCGGACCATGACTTCTTCTCGCCCGTTGCACTTTCTTGCACGAGCACGTTTCAAACAGGATTAGTGATGCAATTAGTGTGACTCAGGAGTTTTAGGCGTCTGGTTCAAGGAAAAGTCTTTAATCGTCCTGTCCTCGCGCTGGTAACACGAATCAGAACTCAAGGGAAAGTTTACAGCGATGCGCGTGAATGTCGCGCGGTTCCGCGCAGCGCGGCACGAGCGCGCTGCGCGGAACCGCTGTGATCTCAGCCAGCATCATTTCACGAGATCTGTATCTTCACAAGCGAAAGAAAAAACATTTGATGAATAATGTTTCCCGACAGCTTATAGGAAGTAGAAACAAAAGACGAATCACTTAAATAAAAACGATAGAATTAACGCCGGCTTTGATTTGAACTTTTTTTATTGAAGTATCTTCACGGCATTTTTTTTCAATGACATTTTGTTTAACACGGGATACTCTCACAGCCCTGTGAATTAAAAAGTAAATCGTACACCACACTTCAATTAAAAGTTGGCATAATACTGTTTAACTAGGCTAAATGTCATGACAGGATAACCCAGTTATTAAATTATAACACTTACCTGCCATAACGACATACGTCACTCTTGGTGTTAATCCCCAAAACGCCGACAGGAGCTCGTGGTTTAATTGAATGGAAGACCCCAACACATTCACGCGTAAATCTCGGGTTTTGGTTTCCCCTTTATCTCAGTTACTTGTGCCGCTCTGGTCTCTGCAGCCATTCTGTCTTTCTCAACTTGCAGGGAAACTTCCACACAGTCCGCCGGGAATGCGCAGGCGCGCACCCGCTTGCACATATGCCTGATTGTATCCTCCCAGTTTTCCCATGGGCGGATTTAGGAGTGTTCTGGTTGCAGTTTACTCACTTTAAACTCCTTTTAGACCAGTTTTAGACTAGGACTATTTTGTGATGGGACCTATGGTGTGTTTGCAATTTTGAAATATTTTACATGAAAGCCCCTCAAGACAATGAATGAACCTAAAATTGTAAATCCCTCTAAAAGTATTTTAGAGGGATTGTTTTAATGGAAGTCATTCCTCAGATAATTCCTTTACACTAATGTTTGTCAGGATAAGATTCTGAATGAGCGCTTTTCTGTCAGGAGCTGTACTGACAACATGATAAGTGTCTATTTCAGGCTAATCATCATAGTGGACTCTGATCTGTAATTGGTGCAGAAAACCTTGATCCGGCTAAGAGGAGTATACTGTTGAAAACCTGAGAGAGGGAGCAGATGGCTATCAGATATGGGAATTGAGGTCCGCATCTCCTCCCTGTACCATGAACAGAGCCTAGCTGAAAGCCAAGAAGACCAGCAGTCCTCTGTGGTGCTGAAATGACCCGGGTTCTAGGAAGTAGACCCACAACACCCACCTTTCATCCGAGGTGCCGGAGCGCTCCTGGCCCATGTCACCTGCTGCACCCCGAGTCCGGCTCAGGTAGACCAGTTCACAGGCCACGCTGACAGGCAGTCGTCATCACGTCCGCGCTCTGCAGTAATTATGGGGTTACGACCCCAAAGATCTGGCTAGGATTGTGCCTGTGCAGCAGCATGTTATGGTGTAACCTTGCCAGAATAAACTTCTCTCAGGAAACTTCACTTTCTTTTCAGCCACTCGCTTCGCGGAGTACATTGCACTTCTCAGAATACAAGGAAATGCCACTGGTGAGAGACGGAAGCTTTATAGTCCATAAAGGGCCCGAACAATCCTGCAGAACTCCACACATCATGCCAGCGTTCATGCAAACAGACATTACAACGTTGATTAATGAATGGTAAGGAGTTAACCTGGCAACACTCGTTTGTTTCAACAAGACACTTACATTGCAAGGAGACAAACCAGTCTGTGATGTGTTTACAGGCCCACTCCCAGCTGGTACCCCCCCTTTGCATAACAGTGAGCTTCAGACACTGCGCTTCACTCAGCCCATTCTTTAGTCAATGAATGTGCATGAGGGTGCTCATGTGTAGGATGTGTGTGTGAACTTGTGTGGGTGCGGGAATCCACGCATTCACGTTAAATTCCGCTGCCTAGACGGTAAGAAATAGCAGTTTTCTCTTGATCAAGGATTTAATACAAAATTATTTGTTTATGAGCATGACGTGACCCGAGAAAAATTGATGGGAGGAAAAGGGTTAACACAAGAGACCCCAACAGCGCTCAGCCCTGGTGTTAGTCCTTTTTAATGTCGCTTTGAAGTCCAAGTGGTGTTAGGCGAAGGGGAAGGTTATTGGCTCCTATACCCTAACTCAACACACATTATCAGAAAAAACCCACAAGAATTACAAAAATGTTGTAAGTGTGTTTGTACTTTTGCTGCAGGTATCGGGTTATATGCAGTGGCCTCTGCTGCAAATTGCTTTTCACACTGCAGAAAGTGAATCCGGATGTAAAAATCTATACAATAGATTTTTTTTGCCCATATGCCCCATTTATAAACAGTGTAAAAGTGGCCTGGTAAAACTATTCAATATGAAACTATCAATGTGACTGTATGGGGGCCTGGTGTTACTCTGCCAGTCTGGTCGGCCTCCTGGGTCTCCTGGTGGAGCAAATAGGTCAGTGTGACAGCAGCTCTGCGGGGGTATCAAAAACAAAGTGTGTGTATGAGTGCTTTAAAACAACAAGCATTCATGCGCACACCTGGGTCTGATCACGGACCGGGACAGTGAGGTCTGTGGAGGTATTCCTAATCAAACCCAGCTTCCTCAGATCTTTCATGGTTTCCCGGCTGCACTCAGATCACATGTAGTTATCCAGAACAGCCTGACAGGGATCTCTGGCTTTGGTCAGACTGCCGGCCTGATAAGGAGAGAGAGCAAGGGAAATGCAATATAGACACGCAGGGAGAGCGTCTTGCCCTCTTTTCCCCAAATTCTCTGGCACACAAACGCGCTCACACTCGGCTGCTCCACACGTGAGTGCTTTGAGTATATCCACCCCCACACGTACATATGTTATACATGATAATAAAAGACACAGACGGCTGCTGCACAATGTGACTTGAGGGGTTCACAGACAGGCCATTAGACCATGATACAAACCTTATGGAGACAGAAAGATGAGAGAGATGTGAGTAAATTTGTGGAGAAAACAAATCACGCTACGAAGAGCTATGTGTGGAAGCTTTCACTTTATTTTTATGGGTGTTGAGAGGCATTTTTTTTCTTCTTCCTTTTCTTAAGGCGTCCTGTACATTTTTTTTTTTTTACAAATTTCAACAATCAGATGTTGTTACCTTATTGGCTAGAGCGCTCGCTTTAATATCCACCGATAGTGGTTTGTTCATTAAGGTTTCTACTATCACAACATGTTTGTGTGTGTGGGGGATAAATCCCCCCAGGTTTGGATGAAGGGCAAACTTGTGGAGATGCTGGTGGTCACTTGTCCTTGCATATTTTGTGGTTCTGTGTGAGTGTGCGTATCTGTGTGTCCACTGTGTTTTAATTAAGCTGAGGAGGTTGGCAGGGAGGCCGAGGTGCTTGTGGTCAGCGGGGGATTGGGTCCACCCTGTTTGTCTTTGCACATCTGGCCACTGGAGCCACTTCCGACTCCAATTAGGATTTCCTGAGACTCAATAAAGGGGATTATTAGCCTGCAAAAACACCAGCCCACACCCTCCCACCCTAGGTCGCCTTCTCGCCCCAGCTGGTATGTTCATTACACTAGCCAGAGCTACAGTCGCACTCCAGTAGAGGCTCACAATGACACATTAACATACAGCGATGGAGACAAACATTCCCTTTTCTTTTCCCGAATCTCCTGATCTTCATAATTATCGGATCGGTGCTCCATCAAGGATTTCATCGAAGCAATAGAAACTAAATGACTGCCTTACTGGCTGATGACAGACCGAGAGTCTGTGGTTGGGCACAAAGCCCTCGAGCAGAGTGCAGGGGAGCCCGGCTGCGCTGATAGGGGGTCCCGAGCGGCTGCTTGTGTGGCAAGAGTGATCACACAGTTAATATTCAAAGGGCCAGGTCTGTTGTAAAGATCCCACTAAATAGAGGTTGACAAAGCGCGTCGTACAAACAAAGGCTTCTCTCTAAGTTGGCTGTGTATATGGCACAAAGGGCAGTGGAGGGATGGGCTTTGCTGGGGTGGTCATGTATGGAGTCTATAGTGAGCTATTAAAGCAGGGCCTCCTGCTCTTCCTCCCCCACCACGCAAACCACACATTCTTGATTTCATGCTACTCTGGCTTTTCATCATCATTTTTGTATTTGGTCACAATACTTTAAATGTTGCTGTATGAGAACCAAATGTATTGCATTTTGTTGCTTCAACTGATCCTTTTCTCATTAAATATGACGTTTTAACTGTATCGATAGTCTTTTAATGAGAGCGTGTTGATTTATCACCCAGGGGGAATGGTATGTCTACGTGCATCATTCCGAGTAACCACTTTCAAATTCCCTTCCAGATCACCACACACACACACACACGCACAGAAGATGCATGTAAACACACACGTACACACATGGTTACTTCAAGCATCTAAACCTAATTATTCTCCTCCTGCTTCTTGGTGCCAAACAGTGATGTCACCCGGAGAGAGACAGTGGGACTGTTGGCTCGGTGCCCGAGGGCGCCCAGAGTTTCAGCTGCCTCTGGTGTTGAGGCTGCGGGGATTAACCAGCGTGCTCTGCTGCTGCAGCCACCACAGAACCTAACGTCCTCCTTTCGGCTCCCTCTGTGGCTGCGACTGACATCCAACCAACACATTTAAGGTTGAAAGGAAAAGAAAAACTCTTCGGATTAACCTAGCTGCTACTCTCTTTCCATCATTTCTCCAGGCATCCACTGGGCCTGTGCCGGAACCCATTCATCCTCACTGAACTGTTGCATAACAATGCAAGCACTTGTTGGTAAAACAAGGCACACTCTGGCCTCCAGAACCCTTGATCCAAAAGCCCAGTTTCTTGTGTCGTGGTGGAAGCTTTGGATCCTGGTGAAGTTGGGTGAGCGACTGAACATTTGGGGCACACGTGATGGAGAGGGTGCGCATCGTAGTCTGAATACCACGTCAGCCAGAGGGGAAAACAATCGGTGCTGGTGCCAAAATATGCACCCAGCGGCTGAAATACGATATATTTTTGCGCCTGACGTCTATCAGGGGTAGATAACTACGATGATACAGTTACTGTAGTGATCAATGCTCTACTGAAACAGGAGTTTACCTGAACCTGCGGGAATGAAATTAGCCTTTGGATAAGATGCTTCCTGAATTTCGGCATATACTGAATGTCAGCATCTGTTCCCACTGATGCTTACACTTGAAATCTCAAAGCCTCAGTTTCTTTCAGTATGGCAGGTTATGGAAATTCGAATTGAAAATAAATGCTTTGCCCTACCGTTTGAGCTGGCCTCTTACTTCAAAGCGGTGGCAGGAAATAATAAGTGGCATGTAAATTGAGTAATAGCTTAAAGAAATAGCAACATTTGGTAAATAGACTCTACGATCCATCCTTTTAATACGCAATTTAAGCCATCAGACGGTTAGTTTAAATTCTGCAAAAAGGCAGATAAATGAATTGGCACACTAACAGCCAGTAAAACCACACATTTAAACATACATTGTTTTAAATATTTAACAAAGAAGACGTGACATTGTAATTAGTGAGCTTAGAGGTGCTTTGGACAGAGCCGGGTTCACTGTTTACTCTTACAGTTTTTATGATGAGATGTGATGAGTTGAGACATAGGATTTGTATCCATCTTCTCATCTATTTCTTAAAGTAAGTGTATTTAAAGACATTCCATTAA